GAGAGTGATGACTTGTGGATCGACTGTTTCAGAAAATGGAATCGTCCGATTGTCCACCATTCCTAACTCCTCACCCTTTTGTGAAACGGAAACGAAAACGATACATTAAGCAAAATCAAAAAAGCTTAAATATAAAAAATAATACATACGTAGTAAGTGATGGCGATGCCTGGCAATGTCATTATTAATGCGTTAAAACCATCGACTCTTCGTTCACCGTATCGCGAACCAATACGTGGTCTATCATGGTTTCCCAGTTGCCAATTGAGCTGATTGCCCACTGGGACACTTCCAAATAATTTATCAATGATTTTCTTAGCATCTTTTGGCGTTGAATATTTGTCCATATCAGTGATCAAATCAAAATTAAATGGAATATGCGCTCCTTTTCTTTTACCGTTTCCAAAATATTTGACATATTCGGTATTATTTACATAAGCTTCACACATCAGAACAAGTTGCGCATCTTTGTTTTTCTCTTGAAATTTATCAATAGCCTCTCTGAACTTGTACAGTAGGTCAAATGATTCTCCCAAATTTTTTGTGTAATCATGCTTTAAGTATTCAACATCATTCGGATCACTTGTTTTATTACTCAAAGGTTCGTCTCTCAAATCCTTATCTTCGTAGAAAAAGTTGGCTGCATCCAATCGGAAGCCGTTAGCACCCTTTTCAAGCCAAAAATTAAGAACATCGATCATTTTAATGGTGACATTTTCATTCCGGTAGTTAAACTCGGGCATTTCCTTGGCTACAAAATGACAGAAATTTTTTTATATATCATGGCACTTTTGAGCCATATCAATATGAAGACACATACCAAATGTGTGTAAATACCACTGGTTTCGCTCTTCATTAAAAGTCCATGCTGAACCATAGAAAATCGATAACCAATTATTTGGCGGTTCTGTGTTATTGTTTTTACCATCAGCCCAAACGTAAAAGTTTTCATACTCAGGGTCACGTCTCACCGACTTTTTGAACCATTCGCATTTATCAGAGCTATGATTTGGCACGAAATCCAAAATGATTTTTATATTTCTTTTCTTGGCTTCTCTGAATAACTCTTCTAAGTCGGCCATCGTTCCAAACATCGGATCGATATCGTAGAAATCTTCAGTGTCATAGCCGAAGTCAACCATTGGACTCTGTTTATTTCGATAGAAACAAAAGTGTTAAAAGTAAATATAAGAGTAAGCTAGATGGAATGAGCTGAAAGTAAAGGCCAAATCTTGAAAATTCATGGATCTGCAAAAATCCACCGGATTTGGACTTTGGATCATCGAATAGCACTATACAAATTTTAAAAAAATCATTTCTTAATATATGCATTATTTCCCTATGTGCACTTTGCACTATCATAAATATTGTGCTCATAAATTTTGGAATTAATTTAATATTATATTTTTATCTGCAAAATATTTTCCTAAACGAAATTTTTTCTCTGGAAGTGAAGATCTTTTTTTTTTTGCTTTTCCTATTCGCAAAACCATTAAAGTTTGATGGAACTATAAATTTTGGTTACTGGACTTTTGGTCGGGAGAGAAATGGAATTTTAGTCGCCGCGACTAAAATTCTTTTTATGGATTTTCGCTGGAAGGTCGATTTTAAAAAAAGGACCCTCCATGATAAATCTGTGGAGGCAAACTTCATTTTTGAGCCGATTTATATGGAAAATCAAACAATTATATCATTTTCATACCCAGACGCTGCGTTTTGAATATTTATTTTCACGCATACTCACTTTTACTTCTTAACTAAAACTTACTCTCTTTTATAATTTTACCATGGAAATACATATTCTCATTTATCGTAACTTTTAACTACGATGGTCTTAGATATTCTCATTGAATTTTGATCGCTGTCAAAATTTTCAAAAGAACTTTGGTCGTAGCGACCAAAAACAGTTTTCGCAAAGAAAAATAGTTGGTACAATATGGAATTTTGGTCGCAGAAGAAATATAAGAGCGCGACCAAAACTCCAGCCAAGTTTGATAGTTACTTTTAAAACTGGCGAAAGCCAAGCTCCATCAACACCCAATTCTTTCAAGTAGTCCAATTCTTGAATAATACCACGAATGTCCCCGATTCCATCGCCGTTACTGTCTTTGAATGACCGGGGATAGATTTGGTAAAAAACACCATTTTCATACCAATCCAATTTGGGCCTTTCGTTTACAGCCTTGTTATTTACTGCAGATGAATTCGCTGCAATGCAGCCCAATAGCGTCACACAAATAACCTTTAAAATTTGCATGACTAGAATACTTCATCAATTTCACGTTAAATATTTTGTCAATTAAATTAAACGATTGATATTTATTATTTTTTATGAACCAAAAGCACACAAATTCACTTTATTTTAAATTAAAAACATATGTATTAGATTATATAAGACTTTATGTGTTAAATTAACATTTTGCAATCAAAATCTTTTGCTTCATGCACATGTATTATTTTAAAGAAACAGTATCGTTAGGAAAGCCGCTCAATATTAACTACTCACAGAGAAGAGTAATAGCGATATTCTCATACACAGGTTGTGAACTGACAAATTACCACCAATACTATGAACGGCATGGCATTATTTTACTTTGCTGAGCAAGATAGCATTGGCCGTTAAAAACAAATACAAAACATATAAAAATCACTATGCGTTTATGGTATTGGTGGTGATTTGACAGTTCACAACCTCTGTATGAGAATATCGCTATTTCTTTTCTCTGTGAGTAGATTATGTTGTAAATTGACTTTCATGATCTTATTTAAAAATTCTTATCAGTTTTAAACTCATTTTTCTAAGGAACATTAAAATTATGACGAAAAACATTCAAGAATTGAATATAGCATATTTGCACATTAGAGAAAATTATTCGAATTATTCATAAAAAATAGTGATGACTACCTTAAAATAACATAGTATTTCATGCGAAATTGCACATTCAGATATCTAGATCGACTGAGGGAGTACTGTAAAGATATAAACAAATATCAGATCTGAGCTATATAGTAGCTACAAAAAAACTTGCCAGTAATAAATAATGTGTGACATTTGATAATGTCAAAAGTTAGGTATGACTTTCAAACGTTCACTTTGGTTGACTGGTCTTTATCAAGACAAATTTATTCATTATCAAAAACATTTTAATAAGACAGGCACCGAATCAGAAGTCTCTAAAACCTACTTATATGAACATATTTCAAATTTTAAGGAGAAAGTTTGAGTCGAATTTCAAGGATAAAAAGAAGAAATGTTGTGTAGAAAAATAGAAAAAAAATTGAAAACCAAATAGAAACACAAATCAGCTCTTGATGTTGAAACTGCTTATTAAATGAATAACATGAACAATATAATCAGGGTAATTTAAGTTTAAAAAAGTCCATCAAATAATAACAAAATGAGATCATATTTGATAAATCAATAATTTTCAAATGCACCGTAAGTTTGCTGTAAATATAAAATTTGGCACTGATTATAAAATCAGAAAAAAATAAATATAAACAGCGACAGTTATCATATTTTAATCGTCGTCTCGGAGGGATATAGAGAGAGTGAATTCGGTCATGTCTGCCAATATTTGTTTTTCGTTTTTAATCAGACTAGAAGCTGTTATTATACATGTATGTAAGAATAAACAGAATGATTTCCAAATTAACTTAGCGACCAATATGCGTAACAGCAAAGTATATAACTTAGGTCACTGACGTTGAGTAATCAGATTTTCGATGCATATATTCGAGTAGTGACCTACAACGAGATAACTTTTGGTTTAAAGTCTTAGAATGATGTTGTTGCAAGGAACGTTACCTATCTCTATAGTTTTTGTCCTTGAATTATTTTTTTCATATGTCTTTTTTGTGATAATTATGTACAATAATAATTAATTAATTAGGCTGATGATGATTATCAATTAGTGTTACTTATCAACTTCAACGTTTCGAACCGGATTTGGGTTCTTTTTCAATGTTTATTTATAAACACAAATTTTGTGGTGTGTAATATAAATAATCCGACCAAAAATAATTTATGACCGCTCAAAGAATTTGATCGCAAAAAACCGTTTCTTGTTTTATTCGTCAAATTTACTTTTATGATGAGACCTCTTTTGAGCCAATATTCAATACACGATACAGAGACCTTTACAATTGACGATCAATAGTTGTTGGCCGATTATGGGTTCAACCGGTACCACAAAAAGGTGCCACCGAATTCGACGTTTACTTCTCACCCCGCAGTGCAACTGGCGATGGCAATGGTGATTTTTGGTATCACATTGACGATTATACTGTGTCGATTGAACGTGTTGTGGTCAATGGTTTGGATTAAGCAACCAAATTGATTATAATAGCAATATCATCAAAACAACATGATGTTATCAACACTGAATATTCGTACAGCATCACTAAACCAGTGTTTAATATCGCAGAAGAATGGAAAATCATTTTGTTTGAACATCATTTTCATTTTAAATTATTTTTCCATTTCTTATTTGAGCATGAGGACATCGCTGAATTGCAATGTGACTTAATAAATAAATGTTATCACTTTCAATGGATTTTTATAAGGGAGATGAGCCCAATATGACCACCCAACTTTTCAAGATTTCTAGAACCGAAATGACAAAATATTTTTTGGACATATATATACCAAATGAAAGAGCACTGAAAAAGGTAACTTTCGGCCAAAGAAACCATATTTATATTTTCAACGGTTGATAAAATTTTAGCCGGTTCAAAAAATCTCGAAAATTTGCGATTTTTTGTAAGGGGGCCCAATATGACCACTTATTAAACATTTGATAAACATATTGCGGGGGTGAAGTATAAACGCAATGTGAGTGACTTTTATTCAAAATTCAATCATTTTATTTTATTTTTCCATGAAAATAACTTCGAAATTCGGAAAAAATTGAACTGTAATTCCATTCATCAGGATATTTAATTTGGAGTTTGACGGCAAACTCATAAACCAATTTTTTAAGGCCTTTGATCGATAGGCCATAACACAGCCCAAAACACTTTACAATATACCTGACGAGTTCGTCCTCTTGCTCAGGTGTAAAAACCTGTAAAAACAATGCCACAAAACAATCAATTCATCGTCAATTGAAATTAGAAGAAGAAAAAACAGAAAAAATAAAGAGGCTTACGTACGCAAGCTGACTTTTCCGCATGGAACCGAAATTTTGGGAATAAACTGAAATTATGGTCTATGTATGGTTGCAGTAACTTAAATTACCGTGAAAACTTGTGAATATTATTTTCTTATCAAACTAAATAATCACACCAAGTTTAAAGAAATTTCAATCATTACGGTACCACAAAGGCAAGTCTTTCATACAAAAATGAAATTTTTTGTGGATTTTTGTATGAAAAGTCTGTGAAAACTTGATTGCATCTTAAAACTAACATAAGATTCGGGTTTCTCGTGCCAAAAAACCCCCCACTACACATTCTTTCAGCGTTCAAATTGAAAGAATATCATTTTAAGGCATTTTTCTCATAAGTGCCTCTTCACAGTCCAAGTTTTACATCGATCAATCAATATCGTTGAAAATTTGACCAGATCTATTCCTCGTAATGCCCAATCATCCCGTAAAGTCAGATTTTGAATTTCGTATCTGAGCACGAAAGCATCGTGTCACCGAAATGGTTGAAAAATGATCAAAAAAGTAAAATGTATGGATTGTGGGTACTCCATTTGGACCAAAAAAAATTACACCGGTCAACAGATATTGCTCAAAAACTAATCAGCACGTCTCCTAGTAGTCCCAAATCATCCTGCAAAGTCAGAATTTGAATTGAGTTTTTGGAAGAAGATTTATCGAGTTAACAAATTTTGGCAACACGCCACAGGACACAGGACACAGGACACATCACACACAGCGACGCACATTAATATGCCCCAAAATCATCTCCAATCGTGTTTTCTACATTAAATATGCATAGAAAACATGTTTTGAGATGACTTTAATTTTTTGGCCTAATACAATACCTTTCCTACACTAGGTGTGCGGAAAAGTAACAAATCATTTTTTCAATTGAATAACCTTCGTACGAAATGGTTCGACGTAACAAGGTATCCAGTTTATCGTCTTGAATGGTTGAAAAATCAACATTTTTCACCTTGTCCAGCTTTGCAATATATCGCCTTAGACTCGTTCTATCTATTCCGAATTGTCTAGCAGCTTTCAATTTTGCCATTTTGTTCACTTTAATGGCTTTAACAGCTTGTACCAATTGCATATACTTGAACGCAGCGCGTTCTGATTTGCGCTTATATGGCTCAAAAACATAATTATGGCGATATTTACCTTTTCGAAATCACTGATATGATCACTTCACTTGAATTACATGAAAATTTTCAAAAAACTTTGAGAATGCTAATTTTGACGAATCGTAAATAGCAGACACACGAATGCGACTTTTTGCTAAGTGTTCATGGCAAAAACTCCGTCTATATAAACTACATCTACGACAGAGAGTGCATGGCGATGGCACATTATCTGTCAAAAAAAAAACGTGGTGGTCAATGACCAGTTGACCAAGTCATGTTGGGCCAGTGGTCATATTGGGCTCATCTCCCTTATATGAAAAACAGTATAAGATCATTCTTGTGAAATATCTTGTCAAAATCATTTAAAAATACGGTTGGAAAATCATTCACTTTTGGCTTTCTTAAAAACTACATAGGAATATGTTCGTTAGGATTTTCAAAAAATAACAGGGACTACCGTGGAATATTTATAGTAAGATATTTATTTATAATACTTAGAAATAAGTCTTATTTCGTTGCGTGCACGCTACATTGCAAACGCACGACTCTGCTTGTATATACATACACAGAGACGAAGAGCGCAAAGGCTACTCTGTGTTCTCTGTGCATTGTAGCGTGCACGCATCGAAATAAGACTTATTTCTAAATATTATAAATAAATATCTTACTATAAATATGTCGCGGTAGTCCCTGAAAAATAATAATGTTCACTGGCAGAAAATTTGCGAAAGCTTTTACTACAATCTTTTACCGCTGAAAAGTATGCAACCACTTACAATTGAATCCAAACTAAAAAGTAAACTGTGGTGAAATTCTGTATACAACAACAATAAGGTATAGACAGTTAATATGCATGTTGCTCTTTAGCTTTTCTACAAACTGCAGACTACAACATATATGGCCTATGTATATCAATCGATCATCGCCAAAACACTGGTGTCGATTAAACCAGCAGTTAATATCGCCGAAGAATGAAGAATAATTTGAATTAAGAAATCTTTTTAAAAATGTATTTTTTTTTCTATCCAAACTGATTAAATTCATTCACAGAAGAATTTGATAATGATTCCGTAACACTAATTTTGCTTCACTTGATTTCAATAAAAATGAGCCACCAAAAATCAGACAACATGTATGTTTAATTGATAAGGATAGAATCTCTCTCAA